AGGTTACAAGTGAAAAAATGTAGAATGAAAAATATGTTTAAATAACAATCATAAGTACATAAATCTATATATCACCCAAAACAAATATCGTTAATAAAGAAATGATGGAAACTCATTCATTAGAATTAGATAGTTCCCTCACTAAATAAAACTTCTATTTGCTCAGCATCCCTCACCAGCTGCTGCTGGGACAAGTGCCATGTCCATCTACAGTCGACAGTCAAATTCTCCCTGGGCGTAACTTTACTTTTCTCTACATTTAACTTCTAAAGGTAATTTTTCTGTGTGTTAAAACATATCGATCCTAGTGAAAATTCTGTGTTCAAATTTTTTTTTTTGCTAAGCTTGGCACACTCAACAAAAATATAATATTTTTGAAAGGCAAATATTTTTATTAGTAAAAATATCAATCAGGACAGATCTGATAAAAGATACAGAATTAAAACAACAGAGATAAGATACAGTATCAGAGATTTCCTGCTGGATAATACAGCTTGCTGGGTTTTTTTTTTCTTCTTACAGGAATTAGAGTCGATGTGAATGGTCAATATTTCTTCATTATTCCTTCACCCATGCACTTATTCAACAAACATTTTTAAGGGCTCATTATACCAATCACTGGCCTAATTAACACATGTAGCATAGATCTTGAGTTTCCATGTATGTATGAAGATTAGGAATGAAGTGTCCTCGTGATGATGGGTTAAAGACAACACTCCCTACTACTGGAAGTGAGTGTGACTGTGTGTATTGAAAACACATTTTACCTTGTTGTGGTTCCTAAAGCCCTTGTGTTAGGCAAGTCCACCTGAAAAGTCCTGGACAAAAGGCTGTAAGCAGATGTGATGTATGGAGAAAAGGCATTTAAGGTTCTGTTGGGACTTCCTTCTCACCACCGTGCTCTCTTACCTCACGCAGCCTTGGAGGTCATGTGTAACAGATGCTAAAGCTACTCAATGGTGGCACCTCTGCCGGTCCTGTTGGACATGTAGTTTCAGAGGAAATGAGCTAATTGGGCTAAGCCACTGACATCAGAGAGCCTGTTACCTTAGCCTAATTATTTTAGGCTGCTAAGCATGAAGAGGTTTATCTTGAAATGATAAAGTGATGATATGGAATATATAGGTGGTTATATCAATTCAAACATTTCTTAAATTCTAAAAATCATGCATATCAATTCAGAACAATTGTAGGTTATGCAAAATTAACATTCAGCTCCTTCCTGGTTGTTGACCACCTCTATTCATAAAAGAAGTTTCTGCAGTCACATTTTCTCACGAGATTGCCAGGTTTTCAGGCTGTAGAGGAAGACTCCCAATGAGAATAATGAGGCTGAGGTTCCAGTCCCCCTTGTTTGATAGTCCCTTCCCAAAGTCTTCTGCCAAACTGCGAATTTGGAATTTCATATATTTTTATCTAAAAGATGACCCTCCCAAGTAGAATAAGCTTCAGGTCTCACAAAGCCTAGATGAACCCCCACCTGATCTTTTTATATTACTACCTGTCGCCTGCCCACTCAGCGTTACCTTTCTTTTATTTATCTCACTCTCTAAAAGTAAACTAGATAAAAAGATCTTCTGTTCCCCTGGCCTGGGAAATTACCCTGTATATTTCCCCACTTAGGCAGTTAAACCCAAGAGATGCTTCCTTGGTCCGAATGTTTTGAGCCATTGCTTTCCCTAGCGTCACTAATTTTCACATTTGCACATACAGACTGGCATCTGTGTATTTACATACACATGGAAACACATTCATAGCCCCATGACTTACGGACACACACAGTAAGTACATTGTATAATGTGTTGTTGTTGTTTCACCATGTATTAAGATGACTGTATAAGACACCTCCGCAAGTCAAAATAAGGTGGACGGGGTCAGTGTCTACAGATTTCTGAAACACAAAGCAGCTTGTTTTGATGAGGTCCAGCTCATCTCAAAGCCCATGTGTTGCACTTTGAGGCAAATTAGCTGCACAATTAAAAGCCCAAGCTGACGGTTATTTTGCAGTTAGCATTTCTTGACCCTTTGAATAGAAGCAAACCAAAGTCTGTAGGATAACCAGGCAGCTTTCCTCTTCCCCAAAGCACTTTACTTTGTACATTGCAAAGGCTGTGGCATGATAGTGGCTGGCATTTTTATAGGAAGCCTGACATAATCTGTATTCTAGCAGCAGAATGGCTGCAGGAGGGGAGAGGGGATGCCAGGAACAGTGTAGTTGACAATTACGCAGGCAGGTAGTGTTAGGAACTCTTTCCAAAGCTATGATAAAGTGCTTCATTCTTTATTTAAACTCTCATAATCACTCTTGTTCTTTATCTGAAAAACCACATTTTTAGAAGAAGCAAAATTCTAAAAAATATCAGCACTCAAGTTTGTTTTTTTTTCTCTTTAAATTCAGGAAAGAAGGGAGAACAGGAGGGTTTTGAAATTACCATAAATGGGGCTTTTAACCTAAAAGTTGATTTCTAAGCAAAACAGTTGAGATAGTTAATTCAAAAAGTAATGCAGAAGAAAAGTTTCTTCTTGATATTTCAGTTGCCAGGTGAGCCAACAGCACATATGTTAGGGGTTTTGCGATGGCAGCCCACTTAGTTTGGGAACGAAGCTTCCTATTGATTCAATCATGATTAGCTGCTGGTATAGTGTAATTAATGGGGCTACAGAGCCTCACTATAATTGAATTTTCTTTTGGATCAAGTAAGAAACCAAAGAGGTGTGCTTGATCACACTGCATTCAGTGACTTAGGAGCATACGCTCTTTTCGCATTGTGGCCCCGCCATCTTTAACATATGTTTTCCCAGGTGGCCACACATATGAAAAGTCACGGAGGGTAGTTCATGGTACATACTGGAAGGGGCACCTGTAGGGGACCGGTTTGTCTTGGCCTGGCAAATGTGACTCAGCTCTGTATGGAAAACCTACAGATGTGAAGTGGCAGGCAGGAGCCAGACCTTCAAACCATTTTCCTGTGGGAATCAGGCCTAGAAAATGCATATAGATTGTTATGGCTTGCTCTTGCTAAAACTCCCTCACTCTGGTCTAAAGCAACAAATGTATATTGTTTATCCTCAAGGTAACTTCCAAAGCCTGTGTGAGCTCTCCCAAGGACAGAGCGAATGAGCTCATTGCCATCCGCCTCTGCATGCTATTTTTATTTCCTTGATTGTACCTAGAATGTAGATAATAATGCTCTGTGTGATAGATGATAAATCTTTCTTTGATGTAAGACCCAAGGAAGACAATAAAAGCCTGTCTAGGCAAGGGTCTGGCGCTCCCCTCTTGAGGGAGTGGCCGAGGCACCATAGGCACTCTCCCCTTGAGAGAGTAGTCGTGCCTGTTCCCTTTTTCCACACAGGGTTGTTGTCGCCTGTGCATTGATTCTCGTCGTCAGCCACAACAGGCGGACTCTGCTGGACAGGGTCTGCACCAGGCACCAATCTCTTTTACCCAGATTCCATGGGTCAGAATTCAGTCTGGGGCTCCATGAACTGTGCAAGGTAGGCTGGAAAATATAGACCGATTATGTTCTGGAGAAATAGAAAATAGGTTTGATGAAAGCTGGCCAGTCATGGAGACCTTGTATAGATAATATTGATAGGTCTTTATATTTAATAAGATGTGGTGAGATAAAAGAGGAAAGGACATCTTTTAAACTTTTAATATGGGAAACAATTTAACTGATTATAAATCTATGGAAATTTGGGAATATTAGAAGAGAAGCAAGATTAGAGATTAGGGAATTATTTTTAAAATAATGATTTCCATTCTAATGTATGATTTTTAAAATATTTAAGGCCTTCAAACTAGAGGTGTTGAGCATACATTTAGAAATGTAGAAAACTTATTAAAACTAAAGATGTAACCTAGAGATACAGGTTTTTGATACTTCAAAATATACATAGTAAGTGGCAGTAAAGGACATGAGACTGACCCGTAACAGCACAAAAATAGGGAAACAGAGCTATGAACTTAAAAGTACTAAGTGTAACATAATATCTGCCTTAGTGCAAAGTAACAGAAATAGAGAGATGAGTAAAATCATCTTTGCCTTTAAGAAGCTCACAGTTGAGTGAAAATAATTGAGGAAATTATTGATGACCTGCTGTACACAAAGGCTATAAAAAGATCCATATGGAATGAGAACATAGACTAAGGGCAACAAACAGGCATTCAATAAATATATTGATTGAATGAATAAATTATATATTCAACTATATCACACAAAAAATCCTACTACTTCTTGATGGTGTCCCTAAAGTCTTACACAGATAGATGACGAATCCTCTAATAACTACATAGAGAAAACATCCCTCTCCACTGCCACACATTGACCTTTGTTAAGTGCTTATTTTGTGGAAGGCACTGTGTTGCTTTATGCGTTTTTCTCCTTTTTGTCTCATAACAATACTACATGACATGGATAATTATTTTCATTAAATTCCAAAAAATATATGTATTCTTTCCAAGTGCAAAACAACAAACTGGGGTAACAAAGATGATCTAATTTGTTACGGGACCGGCATCTGTCACACCTTTCACCCCCCACCACATCTCTGTTCTTTCTGAAGAATCATCAGAAATACCAAGATGACTAACGCATTAGCTATCTTCAGATGAACAGGAAAACGGAAGCTGGTGCCATGAACCTAAATAGATGTCTACTGTTCTACAAAAAAAAATTAGAACGTTACTACCAAAATTGTTAGCAGTCAAGCACAAAACCACAACTGACTAACTGTTGTTACAAAATACTTAGTTATTGTTGGAAATTTACCATAGACTAATTAAATTAGAGAATTTTAAAAAATTCCTTTACAACTGGTGAGTATTAAAGAGAAATTTTGAATGGCATTAGCTATGTTTTACTAAGTCAGCAATGTCATAATAATAGTGACATTTATTTATGCAATAAAAACACTATTGAAGTGACTAAAAATTTACAAAATATTTTATAGCTTTTTAATGTTCTTGTCAAATTTTATACCATGACAATGTACTGAGTTGCACAGACTTAAAATTAGTAAATCTCACTTCTGTATACTTTATGATCACAATTAATTATGTACGTCTTCTCCCTCTTCCTTTTTGCTATATATATGCAAAGGCAAACACATCAGAAATATAGAAGATCTTATAACAAAGTTAACAGAAATGTTTAACTTCTCTTCCATATTTTAACTTTTCTGAATTTAAGAGCATGAATCACTGCTGTAGATGTAAAAACTTTATTTTGAAAAACAATTCAGATATTGTTTTTAAAAAATAAACAGAAAATATAATTAAATATATGAAAGCAGGTAATGAAACTAATCAAAGTACACAGGGACTTAATAAAACTCAGCCATCGTGACAGAAATAACTACGGTGAGATTGCCAGAGAAACTGAAAATCACTTGCAAGATGCTACACTCTGGATATGAAGCAACACAAGCAACATGTTTACAACGCTTCCTGCAATAAAAGAGATCAGATCAGTTTCACTGCTCCTTGGGACTGTGGATATATATAAGGAACCTTTACGGGTGACAAGTCAACTTGATTTAAGTTAAATTATGAACAGTAAGAGAAACATTTTCATTACTTTTTATATTTTAGAAATATTTACATACAAATCCATCTTGTGACAGAGTAGTTCTTCTTTTATAGTATTATTTCAAAGTCTCTTAACTGAAAATAATGGTCCTGATTGAGAATGACCCTGGCGTGTGACCTGGCATTGGTTCATTTTGTCATTCCACTGGGAACTTTTAGGAGTAAATTTGCTTTCACAATGGCTACTCTTGCTTTAGCATCTTGTAATCTTTCAGAAGCTTTTTGGGAGCCAAGCACATTTAAAACAAATTTTTCTTCACAGTGTCTTTTATATGCTTCTTGAGCCCTAAGAGGAAAAAGAAAGGTAATAGAATAAGACACTTTTAAATTACTAAAACCACAACATTCAGTTAAACTGTTAATAATAATTAAATGTAGTAAAAATAGACATATGTAAACAGGAAATAAGACAAAACTTCAATTCTTTTTTTAGTTTGCGGAAAGATTTAAAAATTTTTAAATATAATCTTTATTATATTTTTAGAACTTCAGTTATACAGAATTTTATTATAACATTCACTAATATCCATATTAGGTTAATATTTCTTTTTTTAAGATTTCATTTATTTATTTTTAGACAAAGGGGAAGGGACAGGGAAAGAGAGAGAAAGAAGCATCAATGTCTGGTTGCTTCTCACACACCCCACACTGGGGACCTGCCCACAACCCAGGCATGAGCCCTAACTGGGAATCAAACCAGCGACCCTTTGCTTCACTGTTGGGTGCTCAATCCACTGAGCTACACCAGCCAGGGCATATTATTAGGTTAGTATTTCTAAGATCTCTATTGGCTACAATAGAATCTATGCAAACTATGGCTTACATTCCCAAAAAGGCATCTAAACCAGACTATGCCATGATTTGCAGGACAGTTACTTAAGCCTCACTAAATCCAGGCTTCTTCTAGGACTCTGTTACTGATTGAACTGTGTTCCCTCCAAGTTTATGTGTTAAAGTCCTAAATCCTAGTACCTTAGAATATGACTGTATTTGGAGAACAGGTCCTTTAAGAGGCAATTCAATTTAAATGGGATCATGTGGGTGAGCTCTAGTCTAATAGAAGATGAAGAGACACCAAACATGCACACACACAGGACAAAGGCCACGTGAGGACACAGTGAAAAAGTGGCCACACACACACCCAACAGAGGCCTGAGGAGCAATCAAACCTGTCAACATCGTGGTCTCGGACTTCCAGCCTCTAAAACTGTGAGAAAACATTTTGCTGGACAATCCACCTAGCCTGTAGCATTTTGTTATGGCAGCCTTAGGAGACTAACACAAACTCTAAGTTAGAGAAAGATGAGCCAGGCCACACTGTCACACCTGGAAATGCCAAGGACCTTAGAATTTATTCATTTATCCTCACTTGTTCAACAGCTGTGTATTATAATGTTTTGTACACTCCCTAGATGCTAGAAACACAAAGATAAATATACAACATGATACACGAGAAGCTTATAGAAAGAGAAGTCAAAGTATGTAAATACAAATAAAATGCTAAAATACCATAATGAAAGCACTATGTAACAGAACAGAGTGAAACCTGAAGATATTAGAAAACACAATCTGGAGAACAGACAGAGGGAAAAGGAGAAGGCTTCAGGCTCAAATCAAAGCAGCAAGGGCAGCGCATCCCGGCAGGTCCGAGAAGTGCCAGCTCTCTCTGTGCCTCGGCAATACAGTTCTGGTAAGAGCAGTAGAGCAGATAAGCCCAGAAAAACAGAATTGGACTAGATCATGGTGTTCCTTATCTGTATGTAAGGGCACTCAGAGTCTAGATTTGGGAAGTGAAAATAGGACCAAAGTCTAGAAAGTTTAAAAATTATTCAGTACATGATTTTGGAGAAGTTATTTTCATTCTCTCTGCCTAATTTTCTTCATCTTTGAAAAGGGGATAATCCACCTAGGGTTTAGTAAAGAATCAAATAAATTAACATATTTAAAATCCTTACAGGAATGCCTGACATTTAATAATTCCTTTTACTAGACAAATAATAGTGGCATTCATCAGGACAGAAAATGTCAGAACAACTACTACATGGGGGAAAGACAAGAGTTCTGTTTTTGTGAAATGGAATGTTTTGCTTTTTAATTTATATTTTATTGATTATGCTATTACAGTTGTCCCATAAGACTGTTAGCTGATTTCTCAAAGGAGACCTTACAGGCAAAAAGGGGCTGGAAAGAAGTATTCAAAGTCATGAAAAGCAAGGACCTACATCCAAGATTGCTCTATCCAGCAAAGCTTTCATTTAGAATGGAAGGGCAGATAAAGTGCTTCTCAGATAAGGTCAAGTTCAAGGAGTTCATTATCACCAAGCCCTTATTATATGAAATGTTAAAGGGACTTATCTAAGAAAAAGAAGATAAAAAATATGAACAGTAAAAGGACAGCAAACGCACAGATATTAACAACCATACCTAAAACAAAAACAAAAGCAAACTAAGCAAACAACTAGAACAGGAACAGAACCACAGAAATGGAGGTCACATGGAGGGTTAAAATGGAATGTTAAAAGCCCAGCTGTCTGGGTGGTGATGTTAAGGGAATAGAATATAGAGAAGCAAGCACTCGTGTTGAAGAGAACAGGGAGTGAAGCTGTCCCACTTATGTTTGAAACCCAGTTCTGCAACTTATTGATTCTGTGATTTCTGAAAAGTTATTTTAAACTATGTTGGTATAATTTTCTTCATTTTTAAGATGGGACAGTTCAACTCACAGGGTTTAGTAAGGAACAAATAACCTAGTACATTTAAAAACTTTAGAGAAATGCCTAGAATGTAACAATCAGTCAATGAAAATTAGCTATAACTATTGTGTCTGGAGTGTTGGAAGATAATCTTGTCTGGACATGTAGCAAAGTCACTCACCTTGAAAGAGACTTTATAAATGTAATTAAGGGTACTGATTTAGTCTAAAACTGCACTGAAATAGCTCTCCCACAGATAACAATTATAAACTCTGGACAAAATGTAAGAAACCTATTTAAAAGAATTGAAGAGAAACACAATAATTTATCACAGTTATATATCAGGATCCATTAGAAAATAAAATTATGAACTAAATTCCAGTTATAATACCATAAAAATCATATAAAATACTTTGACACAAGCTAAACAAAAATATGCAAGGCCTATATTTGAAGAATGCATGTTGTGAAAGTAAAAGAAGAATTAAAAATTATAAAAGAATTTAGCCATAAGTAAATATACAAGAGTTTCAAACTTAAGAGGTAAGGCAGTTCCAAGTGATAATGGTGATTTTTTGTGTTGATGGAAATTACTTTAAAGATTGCTGGGATCCAAATGCCTTCAGGTTAGACAATCGAGAAGGTTGTTCTTATGAATTAACCATGGATTAACAGGAGAAGAGTTAACCATGATTAAAGGAGAAGTCGGAGGGAGAAAAGCTTTATAAATCAAGATATAAAGACCACAGTGAATGAAGAAGGTGGTCTAGGAGGTCCACAGATGAGTGAAACACAAACGAGCAGAAGGTATACTTGGGCAACTGCCTCATGTGTGGCATCTTCATGCTAACTGACGCTCGACTTCAATATGGACAGCCTGCGCCTCTGCCCTGAACAGTACCATCAGTTTTTCAGGATATGGGAAATAATACTGGGGAAGACATGACCAGCTTACTTGGTACATAAGTTCTTTCAATTCAAAGTCTCACTTTAAGTCATCCTTCAATTCCCCTGTGGGTATTTTATCAATTTTCTAAACTAGAGATTTATGGCTCCCCTTTCTTCTTCCATTCCTGCTCACTCAGCAGCAGGAACAGGGAGTGACTCTCTCAGTCATGACTTCGCTGGTTATTGACATTCATTAGAATGCTTTTAGGTAAAGTGTTTGAGCCAGAGAAAAAATGTAAAAACTCTAAAGTCTCTAGGCAGATTCTACTTGATTTTTTTGAGTCATAGCTCTCTTCTGCTTGTTGATACTCTAGCTTTATTTGAAAATATTTACAAATAAAACTCCATAATGCCTTTTAGGATATTTAGGCAACACTATGTTGGCTTATTCCTCTGTGCTTTCAGAGACAGTATCTTTGCAGCAGTTTACAAGAGAAGATAATTCAGTTAAGATACATTAGGAAGCTCACTTGACTCTGTTTCTTCTACAAATTAATGATGGCCAGACATTCAATTTGCTGTGATAAAACTAAACTGATTAAATTTCCCTAACACCGATTTGCACTATATTTGTGTTTTGATATAAAAGACTAGTTTTCATTCTCTTTTACAAAATATTTTAATTAAATTATAGAAAATTATTTCCAAAAATCTCTCTCACACACAGAGTATGCATTAATGAAAATTGTTTATAAATTATGGCAGAAAAAACATAAAATTTATTATGCTTAAAAAGGAATTATATAACGTACCTTAGTAAATAGTTTAAAAATTGCTAGTTATAAACAGGAAAGGCAAATGTTTTGTTCTTGACATCCCTTTCTAGTACAAACTATTTTTTTGTAAATGATGGCATTTATAAATGTAAATGAAACAGGCAGATACAATGTTCTCAAGTATTTCTAGATAAGCTTTAAATATATCATCAGCCATAAAAAGAAGGAAACGCTGCTATTTGCAATAACCTGGTGGAAGTTGACAGCATGATGCTAAGTGAATGAAGTCAGACAGAGAAAGACAAATACCATCTGATGTCAGTTATGTGCAGAATCTAAAACAAATAGATACAGAGAATAAATTGGTGGTTACCAGAGGGGGGAGGGATAAAATCGGTGAAGGGGGTTAACAGGTACAATCTTACAGTTATAAAATAAATAAGTCATGAGGATGCAATGTATAGAATGTGACTCTAGTTAATCATTGAATTGTACATTCAAATGTGACTACTGTATGATAATTGAATATATTATACAATAATAACTGTATTGAATATTTGAAAGTTGCTGATAGAATAAATCTGAAAAATTCTCATAAATAACACTGTATTGAATATTTAAAAGTGTTGAGAAAATAAATTTTAATATTTTCATCACAAGAAAAAATGAACTATATATGGTTTCAGAAGTTAGCTAGACAATGTGGTGATCATTATGTAAAAATAGCAAAGCAGGATGCTATACATTTAAAACTAATATGTTATATGCCAATCATACCTCAGTAAAAACCTTTCACAACAAACAAAATGTAAAGTTACTAAGTGTAGGTTAAAGTATTTTGAATCAATACAAAATTTTATAATCTCCTTAATTTAAAATTTAAAAAAATCTGCATATAAACAATTAAATATTTTTGCATTTGAGACATGTTTGTCCCAAGTGTGTTCTGAGCATTAGTATTCTCAGATATTTCCTAAAAAGAACATTCTATGGTAAAATGCATGTGTAAACCGTTTAAAATGCAATGATTCTTTTTCTTGGTAGGATTTCTAATGGTCTTTCCCGTAAGACTACCCACTGGGACTGAGAGGCCCTAGCTAATCCAATTTTATGTTTCTTAAGCAATCATACCTCAACTACTCTACTATATAAAACTTCTGCTTGGTACATATGGGTAAAGCCATAGTCACTAGTTCCTTCCTCTCCCTGTTACCTACCCTGAACGTTCCAGTTTTGCTCATTCTCTCTGCAGATAAGGTTTTCCCCTCATAGCTCCACTTTTCCAAGTTCTGATCAACAATTGTAATTTTCCTATTCCACAGTAATTGAAACGTATGCTTAAATTTCTCACTGGGCTGTGAGTTTTTAGAGGATCAAGAATATCTTCACAATTTTTGTATGGGGGTATAGGAGAGAACTAAAATTAATTGACCAGTTGATGTTAAGCCTTCTCTTTGAAGGTTCCCTATATTGCTCTCACCTATTTATTTAAATTTTAAACCTGCACCATGATAGTTCTTATACTATTATGGCCTGTGTTATTATTTCACTCAGGAAGTCTTACTGCCTAGTGACCTAGATTTTCAGTTTCTTGGGGCCAAAGGGTTTTTATGTCCCTACCTGGCATATTGACAGCTGGGAGCGAATTACTATTTGAATGATTTGAAATGTAGGTAAGTAGTACTCCTTTGTAGAAATGCCAGTGATCACGGAGGGACAAAAAAAATGGCAGGACAAATTTACTGTAATAAAATTAAGTACTTGTTCTAAGATAGATACCTATTCTAATGACTAGTGAAGATACTCATAGGTTGGTTAATTATATTTTAGTATATATGTAATAATTTTGATTATATATCTTCAGTTTACAAACGTTTAGAAGAAATGCACACCATGGTGGTATAGCCCAGTGGACTGAGCACGGGCCTGCAAACCAAAGTGTTGCTGGTTTGATTCCCAGTCAGGGCACATGCCTGGGTTGTGTGGCCCAGTCCCCAGTAGGGGGCACATGAGAAGCAACCACACATTGATGTTTCTCTCCCTCTCTCCCTCCCTTCCCCTCTCTAAAAAATAAATAAATAAAATCTTTTTAAAATGCATTGATCCTCATTCCAATGGCTAAAGTATTGAGTACAAAGATATAAAAAAACTTGTCCATACCAGAGGCTATTATATGGTCCAAATGGACTTACTGACACATATAACCATTAATTTAAAAACTGTGATTTTTACCTATTTTCTTCAATAAATAATTCTTGAAGAGACTTTTTAACCTATTGTACCAAGCACTGAAATGGAACAATAAATCAGATTATCTAATAAAGGACTTCATAAACTTACCTGACATAAGCCCTCTTATAATTCCTTACAACTGAGATTTTTAAAAACTGCCTGGGAGCAACACCAAATGAAAAGGACTAACAGATTAGAAAAGCAGTTGGGGAGAGAGTGATAGTGAATATGCACCATTTCAGCTGGTCAGATAATAAAAGGATAAATTTTGTCAGTGGTTGTCCAATTCACATACTGCATCATGAGGGCAAAAAGGGGAAAACAGTCCCACTCAGCCGAGCATCAGCTACTATTGACGTGCTTCCCCCCCACCTGTGGGCACTACCCCTTCACGGGTCTCAACACCTCAGAATAACATGCGCTCAACAACATAGAGTCTCTGTTGCATAATATGTAGGAAACGGAAGCATTGTGGGCTTGTAGTGCCTTTTGGGAGTAAATATCTGAGGGGAAAGGTGATAGAATCAGTTAGATTTTAGGAAGGAAGCACCAAGCTGAGTAGGGAGTGGTGAGTAATGTAGTCTGTCCGGAGCAAAGAGCAAGGAGGCCGCAATTCAGTGAGATGGGTCCCGACAGACGGGCAGGAAGAGAGCGTGATGCCTGTCCTCTGAGTGGAAATGCCGCTCAGAGGAGATTAGATTTTGTGGACAATTGCAAGGTATCAACGTATTTAAGAAGTAAATGACATGATAAGGACTTAGAAGACAGTTTACGTTTGTAGACTGGAGAACATATATGGTTGAAGAACAGAGGGAGAATGGAGATAGGGGTCTCAATTGAAAAGATAATGTGAATTCTCAGAGGAACTATGAAAGCATGAATTAGTTTAGGAGAAGTGGGATTGAAAAAGGATCTGCTTGAGATTCCTTTTAGAAGTAAAATGAATTAGGGAAACATATTAGATGTTGGCAACAAGGGAAACTGAGTTGCAAAAGACTGAGTTTATGAGCACTGGTCAAGAGGCTAGTGATGATGCTGTTTATAGTTAGAAGAAATGTTAATTAAGAAGATTTCATTGGATAAGGGTGGGGATGGGGAAGTACTGAGTTGTATCATCTTTGGCAATATATTAGTATGTATTCGTCCATTTCTGTTTTCCAAAGTAAGATATACCATGTTATAAAGAACTTTTTATTAGATCTCAAGATTTAGTATGCAATATTCACATGAAAATGACTTAAACATTTTTATTATATCAAAATTGTACTTACCTAAATTCCTTATTGAATTTAAGTAAATTTTTTTGATATTTTTCTGCTTCTACTTTTTTCTTAACAATCAGACGTTTCTCTTTTAAGAGAACTTCATTTTTCTTCAATCTGTCGATTTTAGTTATTCCTTTGGTCAAAACAGTGCGCTCATTATTTAATTGTAGAATTAATAAACGTTCTTTCGCTTTTTGCTCTTTTTCTTCTAGAAACAAAGCCCTCCTTTCTCTAACTTTTTCCAGGTAGTTGACTCTGTCCTGCCACAGTCGGTACAAACCAGCCTGAATGGCCCTCTTATCTTCTGCCATTTGTTTTTGTGCAGCGTACTTTTTCTGGTGTAAAGTCTCTTGAACAGCTAAACTGGCTTTTTCTTCAGCAGCTTGAGCCTTGGTTACAGCTATTACTTTTTTCTTATGGCTATCCTGCTTCTTTTGTTCTAAGTAGTATTTATCAATATCAGAAAGTGGTTTGAGTTTTATACTAGTTCTGGGTGCTGTCAAAAACTCTCTTCTTGCATTCTTCTCCAACGGCACGTGTTGTTTTTTAATTACTGGTTTTTGATGAGTGGTAGGAAATGGCGTGGCATATGCAGGAGAAGAATCTTGTTTCTTCTCTTTCAATACTGCAGTGTATTTCAATGAATCTGGAGAATGTATGGGTGGTTTCAACACTGATACCCTAAAACTGGCATGCAATCCTTCATCCTCAGTTTCATGCTCAGACTCCTGACCTACATCACAACAGCAGACAAATACAGTACATTATACAAGTGTTCAGCACATTTTAATTTCTGTCTCAATTGTTTTGAAAAATACATTAATAAAATTCACAAGGACCTGCTATTAATTTATATTAAGAAGCATTTTTCCCAACTGATATTCCTTTCCAATTTGTGATTCAATAGTGATTTTGGAAAGACAAAAATCACTACTGAAACATTTTAACACAAAAATTCACTGATTCTTATGTTTCCTGCATTACCTTATCTTTTAAAATTATTTAACTTGCACTGACTCAAAAGAAGTATCTTACACTTAAAACATGCATATTACTTTTCCATATAGTTCTTATCTCATAATTGCAAAGAACTCATAATCTGTTTCACCTTGTTTTCCTCAATTCTGGTGGAAACTAATACCTGCCAACAACATTGCTGTTCCCTTCATTGGACACACAAAGGAACTATATCTCTCAGCCTTCTTTGCTATCCTTGTGGCCACCAGACAAAGTCCTCCCCTACAGAATGTGGGCAGAAGTGATATCTGTCATTTCTGGTCCATGTCTATTAAGAAACAAATGTGCCTTCTCCTTCTTTCTTCCTTTGATGCATGGAGATAAGGATAGGGCCCTAGTAGATGGTAGATATTCAAGTTGGAAGGATCTTGGCTCACTGAATCCCTGCTTGAAAAAGTACTGACCAATAAGGATTATCTAACTTGAAGTCTATGGAAGCCAGAAATATAATCAGAGAGAAGTGACTGTCCCTATTTGCAAAAGACATAATCTTATATCTAGAAAACTCTAAAGACAAAACATGGTTACAACTAGTAAATGGACTAAAGTTACAGAATACAAAATCAACATACAAAAACTGGTTGCATTTCTATTAACTAACAAAAAAAATCTGAAAAAGATACCCCACTACGATTGCATCAAAAGATTGAAATTCTTACAAATAAATATGACCAAGCAGGTGAGAGATCTTCACACTTAACACATTAAGAAATTGATGAAAGAAAATGAAGAAGACATAAATAGATATCTTGTATTCATAGATTAAAAGAAACAATGTTGTTAAAAAAGTCTGAGCCCTGGCTGGTGTAGCTCAGTGGATTGAGCACGGGCCTGCGAACCAGACAATCGCGGTTCGATTCCCAGTCAGGGCACATACTGGGGTTGCAGGCCAGTTCCCTGCAGGCCAGTTCCCAGCAGGGGATACATGAAAGGCAACCATACACTGATGTTTCTCTCCCTCTCTCCTTCCCTTCCCCTCTAAAGATAAATAAATAAAATCTTAAAAAAAAGTCTATACTACTCAAAGCTATGTAAAAACTCAATACAATCTCTATCAAAATCTCAGAGGCATTTTTACAAAAATAAAAAAACAATTTTATAATTCATATAAAACCACAAAAAAACAAGAAATAGACTATCAGTCTCGAGAAAAAACTAAGAGGCATAATACTCCTTGTTTTCAAAATATATTATAAAACTACAGTAATCAAAATATAGTAGTAAGGTATTGGCATGAAGACAGACATACAGACTAATGGAAAGAACAGAGAACCCAGAAATAAATTCACACATATGCAATAAACTGATGTACAAGGGTACCAAGCATACACAATAGAGAAAGCATTGTCTCTTCAACAAATAGTGATGGGAAAAGTGGAATTCCACATGCACAAGAATGCAATTGGAACGAGAGGCAACCATACATTGATATTTGTTTCCCTCTCTCCTCCCTTTCCCCTCTAAAGATAAATAAATAAAATATTTAAAAAATAGATATTGACAATTTTTAATTGCTATGTGTGGTCATATTAGAGTTTTCTATTTTTCTCTTTCCTAAATTATTAATTTTTAATTTGTTTCCATTATGATTCATCCTGATATGTTACCGATTCTTTCATTTTAATTTATTTTTGGATAACATATCTAGTATGTCTAAGACCCTGTGAACATTTATCCAATCTCAGATCTCGAATTTCAATTTCTGTGATTTACTAATGTAACAGAGAGTGATTTCCCCTAATGCCAGATACTTAAAATTACATATGGTCTCGATGAAGAACTTAATAGCTTCCAGCTTCCTAGAGTCATTTTGATTTATCCATCTATTAATTCATCTATCTATCCATTCTCCATCTATGCATTTATATTTTAGTATCTTGAAAATTCAATCAAAATTCAGTAATCACAACTATAAAATTTTTTTCAAACTCCCTCAGTTTCTAATTTTTCCCTCTAAACTTTACTTTCCCTTTTAATTCTCTGAGAATTACTTGGTTTCTATGACTATTAGCCATTTTTCTTTAATAGAAAAACATTTTCTTTGCCAAATACAGGAATCAGATAGCCAATATAATAAATGTGAAAATGTACATATGTCACACTGAACACTCCCCATATATAAAGTGCACGTGTATAAACGGGAGATGAGGCACTATGACAGGCATGATCCCAGGACCCAAAAGGATGGCGATGCCATTTGTTGAAATAAGAAATAGTGGGGAGAAATTAGATTTAGAGACTGAGGTTAAATAAATAGTCTATGTATTACTTTTTCTGAAGTTTACAGCTTTCATATCCAAACAGAAGCCGACATTTTATTAATGTCATATTTAAATTATTTAATTAAAATTTTTTAATATAATGTCATTTTGAAATATTTAATTCTATAAATAAGAAAATCATTTTAAAGTGATACCATTTTCCATTTACAAAATTACCAATAATAATCAGGTAAAAGCTGAGATAAAAACACCTTTCTACAGTTTTTATGAATTATACCAGACGATTTTTGAGGTACAGCCATTATTTCCACCAACTGCATTCTTCAAATACAGTTTACCTTAGGAAAATAAATGTTTGCTGGCAAATTATCCTTGTATTTGTACAACATATGAAATTCTCTATTTAAGACAACTGGAACACATTTAAGTTAACTTATTCCCCAAAGGTAATTTTTAAATAATTTTATTTACTTTCAGAGAGGGGGAAGGGGGAAAGCGGGGGGAGGAACACCTGTCGCTGCCTCTCCTACAGGCCCCGACTGGGGACCGACTCCATGACCCAGGCCTGTGCCCTCACCGGGAACCAAACTGGCAACCTTTTGCTCTGTGGGACGATGCCCAACCAACTGAGCCACACTGGCCAGGGTCAGCAGATAGTTTTAAATGTCCCATGAAACTTTTAGAACTCACAGAAGCCAGTACCATTTGTGGTCAATAGAGCTTGTTTGGTTCTTCTAAATGTATCACAGATTTATGAGCCATCTGTGAAGAAACAAATGGTCTAAGACTATTTAAAGTCAGTGCAAGAATGGTCTGGATGTTCATAAATGGGTCGGGAGGAGTTGCTCTCTTCAGCAAAACTGCCTGACATCTTAACCCAAGCAGATGGCCTTGTGTGGTAGGCTCTGGGACACTTTTGAGTTCAGGTGAAAAGAAGAATACGAGGGAACAGAAAAAAAAGTAAATATAAACAAAAAAAAAGGTCGAGTGACATCAACTTCTGTCATGCACTGAGTTCCTTGATTTGTTAAGGACCTAAATGTCATTGAAATTACAGTGACACATGGCTATTTTCTCCATTTGAGATGTCCTTGCTAAAACACAGAAGCACCTGAGGTCTCCTCCCACCTCAGCCATTACATACACACACACACCACATGGCATAAATGGCCTAAGATATGACCGAAGATCATCATAAAATACAAAGTTTACAAAAAGCTGGGGACTGACTTATAGGATAGAAAGTTGCAGAGATATAGAGAAATTATCTCCCCATGTAATACCATTAATATAGTTTTGAAAATTAGACATACTGTGTGGAAATGCTATGCAGGAGCCTATTTTTCTATGTTCTGCATGGAAGAAGTGTAGTGCCTGTCATGCGAACCACAAAATCTTGTAATTTCCAAAAATGAAATAAAAACAAGACAAACATAAAAGCAATAAAACATATTTATAAGTTTTGTACTAATATGTAAGATACTTTGTACATATAAATAATTGTTGAGATTGCAATGACATGGCTGTCACTGGTGACAGCAACATCTCTGATAAACATCCTCACTGTCGATGTCCAGCATGCTTTAAAAAGGTCTATATTTGATGTTTTTCAAGGTCATTATTAAGATATATTCAACTATCATAAAAATTCATCATTAACTTCCAGCCAAGATGGAGGTGTAGGTAGATATACTGTGCCTCCTCGCACACGAAAAAGAAAAGGACAATGACAATTTAAAAACAAAAAAAACAAGAACTGACAGAAAATCAAACTGTATGGAAGTCCAACAACCAAGGAGTTAAAGAAGATACACTCATCCAGACCAGTAGGTGGGGCAGAGAGGGGCGCCTGGAGAAAGTTCCTGGCAAGACGAGGCTGGTGGACCCAACGCCAGATTGGAGCAGGGCAGGCAAGGCTGCAGCTGGCCAAGGAGACTTTGGTGGCAGGCTGGTGGAGGGGGTGGTCCCACATTTGAGTGCAGATAAACAGGGAGAAAGAATTGGGGAGCAAGACAGACCACGAACCCCAGGGCCCCAGCAACAGGAAATAAAGCCACAGATCACTGATTGAAAACACCTGTGGGGGTTGTGGCAGTGGAAGAGACTCCCAACCTCACAGAAGAGTTCACTGGAGAGACCCACAGGGCCCTAGAGTGTACACAAGCCCACCCACATGGAAATCGGCACCAGAAGAGCCCAATTTGTTTGTGGGAAGCAGGAGAAGTGACTGAAAGCCCGCAGAAAGCAGAGCAAGCCATGTTCCCTCTCAGACCCCTCCCCCACAATGAAGCTACATCGGTTTCCCTAACCAGGTGACCACCTAAGGCTCCACCCCTCACTATGTAACACGTATGCCAAGACGAAAAATGACCCAAACAAACAAACAAACAAACAAAACAGATCAAAACTCCAGGAATGATACAACTACGTGACAAAGAGGTAGTCAACCCATCGGGTGCACAGTTCAAAAGACTGATTGATAATCAGGATGCTC